ATCATACTTGTCACAATGTTTTCAAATGTGAAATATTCCCTTTAAGGCATGGCAATCAAATGTTTCCACGGAGCCATTCTGCTTCACCTCATCGTGTTTTTTAGGCGTATGCTTGCCTAGGAAAACACTTATGCTCTAATGTAACCTAACCTACCCATCTGACCCAAGGACAAGGAATCACATTTCCAGTATATCCATAACGGTATTTGTATTGTTGTAACCGGTGTACGTTGCAGTGCATACAGCATTTGTTTCGAAGCGGCAACGTTTTTCAAAGTCTTTGGGACGGACTTGTGCTTTGCGATAACAATATGAGTTAGTCTAGGGCTATACCTAAAGGTCCGCCCCATCTCTGGCCAGCGATTATCGACTCCTCCAACGTCAAACACTTTGCTTGCCGTGGCCCTATAATTGCTTCAGCGTTATACGACTAAATCGCAGCGCCATTCTTTATTTACAACGTCACTCACATTACAAGGTCACTTCACAAGGTCACAAGGTCACAAGGTCACAACGCAACCATACCAATCCGGAAACTGAATATCCGTCCTCCGCTTTCGCAGCCCGCTCGGTATTTACACTTTCATTCGCACATGGTCCGGTTACCTAGCCTCCTTTCCGCCGTCCTGACCCGTTCACAGAGACACACGACTGTCGGTACCATCCGACGTGTCGTCCCCCTCCCCCCCCCCCCCCCCCCCATTAGCCATGCGGACGAGAGGAGGTATGCTGTGGCCGACGCCCGTCCGCGGGGAGGGGTTCAGGGCCCAGTTTCGAGACGCACAGCCGTCCATCGTCCGGTAAAGATGGGGACGACAGCTTGTGGACTCACATCGTGTGTGTTATCGCTGGCGTCCCGTTGCCCGCGGAGCCAAAGTTCTTCGCTAGGTAAGCAGCGTCGGCCCGTCCTGTTCTCCATGCACGCCGGTTGGCTTCTGACACACGGCACTCTCCCCCTTTTGCCCTGGAGACTCCCCTCAGAGGCTCCCTGGGGACTTTCCTCCGAGATTTCTCTTTTTTTGCCCTTTGCACGATGCAAGCTCGTGATTTCGATCTTTCCACGCTCGTGATTTCTTCTAACTGGGTCAGCCTGCCCCTCTTTTTTCGCATGGTCAAATAGTTTCGCCGTAATGTCCTATCCGTCTGATACGCTGCCGGGCAGTCCTCCTATGCTTCTTAGTCTCGGCCCTCGACTTGCCCTCGGGCCAGACCTCTAGTTTTGGTTTAGTTTCTAGTTTTTAGTTTGGTTTCTAGCTTAGTTTCTTCCCAGTTTCTTCATTTTTGTTGTATGTTTACCTTGTTTAGATGACACAGAACCCAGAAGGTACCTGAAAGATGCAACTCGCATTGACAAGTCAGCAAACTGAAGGAAACGAGCGAAGTCGCAATTCTCAACCATGGCTCAAAATTGGTATCTAATGAAAATCATGTAGCATAGCTTTGAGCACCACGCTTCCAAGTCGCAAAAATAGAGGCTGCGAACGCCCAGCACTGTAGTCTCCGCGGACCGCCCAGTCAAGCGGCTAACACTGGGCAGGAGCCAACAGGCGGACGAAACTGAAGACACTTCTGAAATAAGTATCTGTGAACGCTTTAGCATGTCATTGTGTGCATTTACAAGGCCCTTCAGACGTATTTTTTCAACCGTGATTTCTTTAGATCGCTAATCTAGTGTTAAGATAGATTGAAAAATTGAAGTAGAGTTAGAGTAGAATCAATATGTGGTGTTCCTGTAATTTTCAACTTTTTTAGATGAAGTCCTCAAAAGTATCTAAATCTATCAGCCATCACTCCATTATAACTGGTAAAATTGCTGAAAGGTTCACGTTATGTATCACAGAACTTGGCTCGTGATCGAAACTCGCATTTCACGCGTTATATTGGTGAATGGCCGACTGCTGTCTGTTGACGTGACAGTGCGCACTGACGTACTTCAGACTCGAATAAATCAATGGCTGTATTTTTTTACCTTCGACACAATATGGCCGTTGAAGAGACGGAATTTGTGTGGCGTGTCTATGACGTTATGCATGTCTGGAGAACTTTAAAGTTGAGAGGGGACGGGCAAAGAATAGTCCACAATGTCGCGTGCGCCTAGTCCAGAAACGAGAGGATTTTTAGTCTCGCAACGACCATGACTGCAAACAGCAGTGAATGATGTTGGAATGGTTATATGGGTCCTAAACCTCATGCAAATGTGGCACAGTCCCTTTAGAGGGAGTGTTGCACATCGATCTGGCGTTTTCAACTGAAATAGCCAACTTGAGGGCCTTTCAGTGCAGTGCACAGCCCTACCCTTCTTAAGATCTAAGCCCATCTAGTTTCTGAGTTATACACCCGCGAAAATGGGGGCTGTATTTCGGGGAGAGTATTTCAAGGTTACCTTGGCATTCATGAACTCATGATAATGTGTTTGAAATCCTGCCATTTCATAAGCCATGCGGCGATCAAGGCCAATAAAAATATAATGGTCGAGTTGCCGCCCATATTTGGCGTTCGTGAGCACGATTGCCAGATATAACAGCTGTCAATTGACTCCATCAATGTTGTGCAAGGTACCATGACGTAATCAGACAATGACGCATCGAAGAGCATCTTTTCTGAACCGAAAAATCGTGGTATTTGGAGCAGTCTTTTCTGCCTTAAAGCATACCAATAGTTACAAGTGAGCCCGTTTCATCATATCTCATGCTCGCTTCAATATGTTCAACTGTGAAATATCCCCTTTCAAGAACGATCGTGATGCGGCCACCCGTGTGCCCCAGGGCCGGTACTCAGTCGTGTGCGAGGTGCGGAACGACGGCAACGCCGTGATCAACGAGGGCTTCTCGGCGTCGGCGGCCATGCCGAACCCCAACACCGACAGCTCGAGCTGGTGCTGCGGCAGCACCTCCCCGATCGGCAACACCAGGCCAACAGGTGAGCCGCGGGCCAGCGTCGCGAGCCGCTGACAGACGTTTTGGCTGCTAGCTGCTGACAGATGTGCCGGCTGCTAGCTGCTGACAGACGTGCTGGCTGCCAGCCGCTGACAGACATGCCGCCTGACAACCGCTGACAGATGCGCTGGCTGGCAGCTGCTGACAGACGTGCCGGCTGCCAGCTGCTGACAGATGTGCTGGCTGCCAGCCACTGACTGACGTATTGGTTGCCAGCCGCCGACAGACATACTGGCTGCCAGTCGCTGACAAATGAGCTTGCTGAGCTGGCTTCATTAGCCACAGTCACGTTACTTGCAGCGCCAAAAACAGAACTCACTCTCAACCTTGCAAGTACGTCTAATGAAGATATCACAGCTGATATGCTGACCCCAAACGTCACGTCACTGGGGCCGACCGTCATTAGGCTGCTGGTTCGTGACTGACAGTTTGCATCCGTCTGCAGGCAACTTTACCCGGACGGTGAGCGCTGGGGCCTTCCAGGTGACAAACAACGCCCGTGGCGGCCTGCTGCCGCCGGCCCAGGTCACCGACCTGGTCATGAGCGAACGCGCCTCGGACGGCGCCGTGGTCACCTGGACGGCGCCCGGAGCTGACCTGGATCAAGGCACCGGTACGGCAGCCGGCCCCTCTCGTCCCTCCCTACCCTACCCATCACTGCCATGAGCCCGGCGGGGTACGGTGGGTAAAGCTATGCCTACTCCGGAGCATGTCATGAGATGGGTGCGTTTGTTATGTCGCGCACTGCTAGGGTGTTGCAGGACCTAAAAGCATCAGCGGTGCCTGTAGGCAAAATGGTGTCGTTCGTCGTTTTCACGTCTGTGCGGGTTTTGCCAGCTTACCCACCCGTCTTGGCGAGCGTTTGGTGTGCCAAGACGCAGATCATCAGTAGCCAGGGATGGTGTCTGGGAAATTTGGGAAATGTTATATTACGTTGTCGCTTTTACACCCCGCAGCGCCCCGTTTCTGTGCATTTCCATCATCATAGGCCTCTCGCGTCATCGGGTGGAAAATCGTGTCACGTTGACAGGTAAGTAAACCCTAAACGGCCTTTTCTCTTGGCCATACCCTCACCGTTCGTTGGTTGTCCGTTGCTTACCGCGCGCTGCCCTCGCTCCCCCCCCCCCCCCCCCCCCCCTCCTCCTTCTCCATCCCATGCTGACCACTGACTGACCTCAAATCGCGACCGAACTGCTCTCCCACAGCATACCGGTACCAGTTCAAGTGGTCTACCAATGCGACCGACCTGTCGCCGACCCAGTTCGATGCCAACGGCGAGGAGGTCAACAGCTCGCTGGTGGCGCCCCCGGAGATCAGCGGCACCATGCAGAACCTGACTTTGCCGGTGCCGTCCAACCTGGACACAGTCTACCTGGCCATGCGCACGTTCGACCAGCAGGGTAAGACGCTGATGCCGAACAGGCCCCGAGCTGCTGCTGGTGCGGGTTGTCGGGAGATCTCGCCCGGTACCGTCAGATATGACGGACCTGGGTCAGCCATCGGAAAGCGAGATACGCAGTCTTTTCAGGTGTCCATTTTTCTACAAAGTGTGATTTTAGCACATGTCCGCCAAGTCCTAAATCATTTTCAGTTCTCGAACTAAACGAACTGTTAGGTGATGAGCTGGTTTGTGGGATGCCGTCTGTTCAGCCTCCATGTTCAGCCCACTACACACGATGCGTCTCGTCGTCTACCATGTACATGCACCTCTGGCGCGCGAGGGAGCGTGACACCGTCGGACTCGCCCACGCGGCATCACTGTCGTGGCGACCACGACCGAGTCACCGCTGAGCATCGTCTCTGACCAGCGGCGTTTCTCCCGCATAGGGCACCGCAGCGCCGTCTCCAACACGGCGATCCTGTACCTGGGCTCGGTGCCGTCTCCCCCGAACGACGATGGCCTCTCTGCCGGCGCCATCGTCGGCATCGTCATCGCCGCCGTCGTCCTGCTGGCGGTGGCTGTGGTGGGGGCGCTTATGGTGCGGCGCCGGCGGCGCGTCATGACGTTGTGACGCGCCACGGCGAGAGAGTCAAAGGAGAGAGACCACTGATATGGTGGACGATGACGAGAGGCAGAAACGTAGCTCGAGAGTAGTGAAGTAGCTTCCCATTACGAATAGTCGCTGCCGGAGCTCGATGGTAGGGTGGTCAACAATGCCTGGGATAGTGCCGCGTGATGAAACGCTGCTCCAAGCGCTCCGTCACTGTGTCCCTGTTGATGGTGTAAGACCGTACGCCGGTAATGGTATCGCATACAAAAGAAGATTACAGCAGATGTTTATCACCGGCTTGTTGTCTTGCTTGTTGCTAACAAAATTACCTCGTACATGAGCTATCAAATGTTTGTATGGGGATAGTTTTGAGCGAAATATAATTCGTGTGATCGCGTTTATTGGTATGAAAGCAATTTGCGCCGGTTACGAGCATACCTCGTTCACCTCAGATGGATTGTTTTACTCTTTAAGTTCAGTCGGAACGCAGAGTGCCCACAAAAAATCTTCAGCGGATTCAGCGGATAGAGCATGGTACAGACGGGGACTGGCAGGTACCAGCGGCGAGCCGGAGCGAGACACGTTCGCCTGTGGTCGCGAGCCTGTAGCGGGGCGCTGTCAGGCTCCGCCGCTGCCGCACAGCGAGCAGGCCGGACCTTCCAGACGGTGTCCGTGGCCTCCAGACGGCCGCAGTCACGGCCGTACAGAGCGCACACCGGTCACCGCGGAGCACGGGAACGGCACGGCCGCGTGGACACAAGCATCTCGCCACGCATAAGTGTTCAATCTCTCGCTTCGATCCCTCGCTCGCTGCGTCTGAACCAAAGCCTGACTATCGACAGCAGTAGACTGAGGCGATGGAAGCAATCGTCCGACAATGAGCAGGTCCCCAAAACGACATAAACTAGGTCAACATGCCTGACGAAAAAATGACAGCATTGACCACCTGTAATGAAGTAAATAAAATTGCAATATTTCTATTATCATTACTTTAGTACTAATGGGGAATATGCGTAGAAGTGCTTGCCTGTGTATGGAGAATTTTGCACTGTACTTGCTTAGTTTACATTAAGGGTAGGAATTTTATGGACGGGTTTGATACTGGTAAAAAAACGACGATGGTACCAACGGTTTTTGCTAGACACTTCATTTGACCAGATCATCGTTCTTGACGTCGCAGGTAGCGATTTTTGGATCAGCCCCGCAACAGGAAATAAAACAGATGACAAAATAGGTGCGTTGCTCGCCCACAGCATTGACTGCACCATGGCTCTGATCCCGTGCAATATGGCCCTGACACCGTGCAACATGGCTCTGACCCCGTGCAATATGGTCCTGACATCGAGCAAGATGGCCCCGACACCGCCAAACATTGCCTTAACCCCGCGAAACATGGTCCGGACCCCGTGTAACATCACCCGACACCGTGCAGCATGGCCCTGACCGCGTACAGTATGGCCCTAACCGCATTCAACATGGCCCTAACCCCGTCCAGCATGACCCTGACCCTATGCAGCATGGCCCTGACTCGAATGAGCAGCTGCGACAGCCAAGTATCAGTATCAGTATTAGTATATTGGAAACCATCCACATGGTGGTCATTACGGTCTCAGGTAATACAGGTGCAGCATGAAATGGAACGCGCGAAAGGTATGCAAAAAACAAATGGTACAGACAATGGTCAAAGAGCTAAAAAGGCCTATCAACGCACAATGGGCAGATCAGATCAGTTGTCAGTAGTTAAAATCGCATCGCGTATGACAGTCCTAAACGTGCTCATTGCTGTGGCATGACGGACGCACGATGGCAGGCGATTCCAGGCAGCTGCGGCCCGATAAGTAAACGCCCTCTTTGTGGCGGCCGGTCGGTCTCTGCGCGGGTATAGGCTACCTCTGTCTGAGGCGTGCGTTCAACGGCTCAAAACAGCAGCGCGTGGGGCAAAAGCGCAAGGACCTTGTGAGGCGCGCCTACCTCTTTCACCGCCGTTAACGCATCACGTTGCAGTGCGCCACCATGACGTCGATCTTCGGCTATCGAAGGGAATTTAAAGCCGAAGTTACGTGATAGTGTCTTTTGGGGCCGGCCATGACTTTTGCAGTGAAGGTGATTGTTTTTTATTTTGTGTATTTGCCTTTTGTTTGTCCCACCCTACACGCAAAGGCAGCATGTGACATGGAGGAAAACGTACGTTCGTGTGATGATTTTGAGAAGATGTGATGTAAAGAAAGTGACGAAATTTGTAAAGCGAATCGAGAATGGTACGGTATCTTTTTCTCCTTTCTGTTTTGTTTACAATGCTCGAGACATGGACACCCCATGCCAGATCGAAGCCAGCTATGACGACACGCATTTTGATGCCACTTGAGGCATGCACAGTCAAACCGTTTACTTTAAAGTGAAATTCGGTAAACTTTTTGCATTTTGATTTAACCCAACGAGCATAAAAGTAGATCTTGTTTCGTTCGTGTGGAGAGAATGGGCACTGAGCCAGTTCTGAATCTAACGCACGAAACGTTTCAGTCTAGGTTTTGAAGTCGGCGGGAGTCTCACCGCGAGGTCCGCTCCGTCAGGGGGGTGCGCAGTCCACGTGCATGGCGTCGTCAGCGCTCGTGTGATCGGAGTTTAAACCCAGAAAACATAGAGAAGGATAAATAATAGTCGCCGCGCGCTGACTGGCGCCTACAGTCAGGAAACTGTGATAGCTGTCCTGTGGTGAAATTTCTCAGAAAGACAGCACATCCCAGCCTTCGCTTCTTCGTGGCGCAGTTCACAGCAGCAGCCGCGGCACCGTTGCTGGAGTGCCCGGAACGCTGCCGGCCGCCGGTCTCTGATGGACGTGCACCTCCACGGCGCGGCTGCTCGGTATCAGCAGCTCGACGACCAGCAGCTGCCGGTGTACGCAGCCAGCTGACACGATCAGCCAGCGTTGGCTGCTGTGGCTGCAGAGTGACTATTCGCTGCCCCTCCAGCGCCAATGCTCGAGGCGGTGGCAGTTTGGCAGTGACAGACGATTTTTTGGTTGAAGCAGCCAAGTGGGCAGAGCAGCCTTGCGAGCGAAGGCTTGCAACAGCATGCACATTGGTCGACAAAGGTGACAGTGAGTCTGAGTTGTCTTCGGGTGCTGTGGCCTTGATCAGTCTCATTATGTTTGCATGCAGGATAACATAAGGATTTCCAAACTTCCTGGAATGCTGTCCAAAATCGACGAGAAAAATTTCACATATCCATTTGCAATCCCCTTCCCCTCACCCTCCCCCCGTAGCTGGCAGTGTGGTTTCCAAGTCATAGCCATCATCATGGATGTCTCACGGCCTCCACACACCATGGCTGTGTCGACTAAACGGCGGCTATATGTGTTACACGGGTATTAATATTCAGCAGACCAGCGGACAGGCCGACCATGAGGGATGGTCTCAGAGATATCACTCTGACCAAAGCCTCGGAGCTACCATTTTCGCTGGTCATCATGTTGTCCCAGCCATCGCCTCGCAAGCCTTCAACCTCCGAACGATGTCACGTCGTCTTTCAGCTGCTCGAGGAGGCCGAACGATGTCATGGCGTCTTTCAGTTACCCGTGCCGTTCCAATGATGAACGGCGCGAATATCCGGGTTGCGCAGAACTGTTGTCATGGTAAACCGGAAACGTCCTTGAAAAACTAAGGCTAGGCTTGGACAGATAATTTTAAGAGGATCCCAAAACAAGGCGGTGTGCATATATATATATATATATATATATATATATATATATATATATATATATATATACCAAAACAACAAACTGGAAGAACTTGTTTCCGGCACCTTTCGACCCACCCTTAAATTCACTTAAGGAGTCCCTAGCCCCGAACTTTCCGTTTTCCGGAGCCGGATTACGCTATCAGAAGACAGTGAAGACACCATGTGTCGCTGACCGAGGGCAGCCGGGGCGCGTCGCGATAGGCCCGCCCAGCGAGCCAACCCTTCCGGCGGCCGCCACTCGTGCTCCCGGCTCGAATCATGGCGTTCGCCGGTACAGCGCTGCTGCTGCTGCTGGTGGTGACCATCGGCCCAGCTCGCGCCGGTGTCACCATCGCCGACAACGGCTACTCCGGCGTGCTGGTCGGCATCTCGCAGGACGTGCCGCAGGAGCAGGGCCAACAGCTCATCTACGCCGTTAAGGTAGCCGCCGCCGGATGACCGGCCCGAGGGAGGGTGGGGTGAGCGTAGCCGGCGGGCAGGGCAGGTGGGCTGGGCAGGACAGGATAGCAGGGCAGGGCAGGCGAGCAAGGCAGGCGGGCGGGTTAGGTGGGCAAGCCGGCGAGCAGGGCAGGGCCGGCAGTCAGGGCCGGCGGGCATGGCAAGGCCGGCGGGCAGGGTCGGCGGGCAGGGCAGGGCTGGCAGGCAGGGCAGGCGGACAATGCAGGGCTGGCGGGAAGAGTGAACGGATAGGGCAGAGCAGGCGGCCAGGGCAGACCAGGTGTGTAGGGCAGGCGGGCAGGGCAGGGAAGGCCAGCACGGTCCGGTGGGCTGGGCAGGGGTAGTGGGGGCTGACAGGGTGGACAGGACGCGGCAGGCGGGCAGAGCAGAGCAGGCGGGCAGGGCAGAGCAGGCGGGTAGGGCAGGGCAGGCGGGCAGGGCAGAACTGGCCGGAAGAGTAAACGGATAGGGCAAAGCAGGCGGCCAGGGCAGAGCAGGCGAGCAGGGCAGACCAGGCGTGTAGAGCAGGCGGGCAGGGCAGGGAAGGCCGGCACGGTCGGTGGGCTGGGCAGGACAGGGGCGGCCGGCAGGGTTGACAGGACACGGCAGAGCAGAGCAGGCGGGCAGGGCAGAGCAGGCGGGCCAGTCCAGCCATCACCATGTGGGCGCGATGACGCACTGCTGAGGGCGGCACTGCAAATACGACATTTTTCACGGCAGGAAGACAAGTGTCATGTCCCCAAAACAGCTGTAGCATCTGCAGAGCAACGGCAAGACAGATGCTTCCGTGCTCTGTTTCGGCTTTCGGCTCCGACCGCCATGGCCCCAGTACTGACATAATGCCGATGGGGGAGCGATGGTGGCACTAGTCTTCCGTGGGGCCAGGGCGAGGCTTCGTGAAATCGAAACGGCCTGAAGGCCAGATAAAAAACAAATGAACATTTGCTGCATTGTAGTTTTCAGGCTGCTAATAATCCATGAGGTTACATCTGAGGGCTTGATGAGCCATTTTTACAACAAATATTGTTATGTCTTGACGGTTGCTCATTGGCAGTCAATTCCCATTACCAGAGCACAGCACACAGGTTTCCCGACCCCAATAGCTACGTGTCCGTTTTCCGCAATCACGACGCTACGTTGTCCTTAAGTCTCAAATCATTTCCAACGGTAGCTTACAACCCATGTGTTAAGGCTTCTCTGATACAAGTTGGGAAATTCGAAAGTCTCTACGTAACTGTGCGTGGCTATTTTTCGTTGGTTCCAAAGTATTTAATGCGTTGTTGAATCGTCCCATGTGTTGCTTTATGTCCACGTCATGCTACACAACGGGGAGGATGTCTTCTTTCCATCCGCTTGTTATGTTCAAAAGCTCGTTGTTCATCCTTTCTTTTGGATTCAAGAAAAGAAGTCAAATGCTTTTGAGCAACTGCTGCGCCTTTGAATCCCAAGTCCTTCACTCGGGCATCCATATTGGCCGACAGCCTGGTGAGGATGATATGGTCGTGGGACCGTTCAAGCGTAAAAACAAACGTGTTCAGGGAGATTGCTCCCCACAGAAATGGGATGGGTTCCGACCGAACGCTAAAGAAAGGCATGTATTCATTTCACAGCGAAACGAACCATGCAATCACCTTAAATATGCCCAGGGAGCAAGCCTGCTTACAACGACTGGCCGTTTACCCCAAAGACTGAGAGAGCGTACGGACTTGAGAAAAGCGTTATATGTTTTGTAGGAAAGGGCACAGTCCCTCGGACTTATTGCAGTATCAAGGATGTTTGGGGGTGGCCGAACATTCAGCTGCGGGAACGAAGACAATCTATTGTGCCGTGACCTTTCCAAAGGGATACATGGCTCCATACAGCCACCCACAGCTCACGATGCTAGCGTCCGATCCG